TAACCCTCCCTTGTTCCTCCCCAGTGACACCAGTCGCTTCCCCCAGGGCCCCACGGCAGCTGCTTCATTGAAGCTGATTGCAGCGCAGCGGAGGCACTGTACGAGGTGCCATTAGCCGGGCACAGTCCCCTTCAGAAGACCTCCGTGGCCCTTTGATTCCCTTTGCTTTGCTCCATGCTTTCCCTTAGAAACGCAGTCCGAAGCCCTGCGGAGGGCAGGGGCCAGCCCGGCCGGGGCTGCCCAGGCCCGTCTGCGCTCTCTGGTCACGGGCAGAGTGACAAGGTTTTTGTCTCCTTGCTCTCAGCCCGTCGCTGAGCCCTGTCCAGCCCTGGCCCCTGTCCCCTCCCTGCTCTAAGCCAGCAAGCAGGGAGAGAAGCTGACAGGAGCACGCCTGCCGCCCATCGCGCTGGCCTCAGGGCAGCCCCAGGAGCGAGACGGCTCCAGGCTCGGGGTGAAAGAGCTGGAGGCAGCTGGTAACAGAGGGAGGAATCAAGGTCCGCACTTTGTCAGGCAAAAGGTTCAAAGATGACATCCGGCATCACATGGGACGGGGCATGTTATGTCCCCGCAGCTCGTTGGTGCCTGCTGTCCCTCCTGCGTGGAAGATGGCTCCTCTTATCCCCTCCTGTGTCTGCTCCCCCAGCCTGGCCCCAGTGTTCCAGTGGCAGAAGAAGGTGGATTAGGTCCAAGCAGCTGCTTGGAGAGCAGAGCTGGTGCCTGTGGCTGATCTCTGTGTCTGCAGGATCCACCTGATGGCTGGGCGGGTTCCCCTGGGCGCAGACCGGGCAGCAGTGGCAGGCGAGATGGAAGCCACCTTCATTGAGAATCTCAGATACGCTGCTGACCTCCTGGCCCAGGTAAGTGGGGAACGAGTCCCGCTCCATGGGCACAGCTCTTAGGATACTGAAGCTGGAGAATCCCCCACCAGCATGGCACGGGGAAGGAGTGCTCCCTGCTGCAGAGGTGACGTTAATGTGTTACAGGAAGACATGATTGGACTGGTGGAGCCTATTAACAGCCGCATCACTGACCCCCGCTACTTTCTGAACACCCCACACCAAGGTAAGGCAGACATCTCTCCCCAGAGTCTCCTTCAAGGGAGGAGAAGGATCCCCAAAGTCTGAAAGGCAGGAGCTTGCCTCACCTGCAGGGAGAAGCTGAGGGAGCACAGCTGATGAAGGTGGGCCTCAGGGCTTCACCATGAAGCTTCCAGCCTGGGGGTGACAGTCTGTCATTTCTTGCACCCTTAGCTGCTGCCATCCTGGAGAAGGTGGGACGGCCCAACCTGAAGCTGCAGCTGGTGAGTCTGCATTGAAGATCTCCAGGGTCCACCCTCCACAGGCTCACAGGGGGGTCCCAGGGCTACGGGCTTGGTTTTCCCTCCTGGGGATGTGGACAGGGACGGGGACTGTAGCACAGCCATCCTTGACCACTCACTGCTGGACAGCTGCACCATCCATCTCCTGTCCTTCCCACAGGACCTCTTTCACTGCCAGATCATGGATGGGAATTTGTCACGCAACCTGGAGACGTACTTCCCGCTCATCGGTAACGCCCAGCACCCAGACCTGCTCCACGGTGGCCGTGGGGCAGGAGCGGCTTTCAGACGAGGCCATACTGCCCCACGCTCTGCTGTGGCTGGCTGGGGGTGTGGGGCTGCTCCTGGGTCACCTTGTCTGGTGCCTGGAGAAGGCTGCAGGCAGGGCTGCTGCGGGCAGGGCTTCTCCCATTCCCTCCCTAGGTCACATCCAGATTGCCCAAGTGCCAGGGCGGCACGAGCCCGACAGCCCCGGGGAGTTAAACTTCCCCTACATCTTCGAGCTCCTGGAGTCTCTGGGCTACACCGGCTACGTGGGGTGCGAGTATGCTCCGAAAGGTGAGTACACCCGTGGGCTGTGGGACCCCCACCGGCAGGTCCCAGCTTGGGGGCTGCACAAAGGCAGGCATGTCCTGGGGGAGGCAGGCTGGCTGCGCTCGTACTGGGAGAGCCGAGGCCTGCACCAGGGTGGGACCACTAAGGCAGCAGAGTAAAACAAGGAGAACACTGCAATAAAAGTCAAAGCAATGGCTTAAGAGAGGAGTGTGTCTGTCTTCTCTATGACTTGGGGCAGTTAGGAGCATCTATGTCCTGCTGCCCTTCCCCAGGCCCTGCTGGGCCAGCCCAAGCAGCTGGGCCCTCATCTCCTCAGCTGCCATCTGCAGCATGTTGTATTTGGGGATGGCTTGGGTACTGCTGTAGGTGCCTTGAGGTACAGAGGAGCACCTTCATCTCCAGTCTGCAGGGGTGTCCAGGGCGAGGTTCCAGTTCCCCCTGCTGAGGGGAGCATTCACCCCTTGGGAAGGGCATGAGATTTGCCGGTCCAGCTCCAGCTGGTGACTGGAGTTGTGTCAAGAGGCAGTGTCCTGCAGTGCTCGCAGCTGCTGCCAGTGCCCAGCGCTGACCCTGCAGTGGCTGGGGAAGGTGAAGCGAGCAGCCCCCTCGCAGGCTGCTCTGGAGCAAGCAAACCCAGCCAGCCCCGCAGCTGGGGTTGCCTCTGCGTCCCCTACGGGAGGCTGTCCACATCCGAGCCTATGGCACTGAGTGGGGATCTGGTTCAGTTTATTTCACAGATATATCAACAGCTTTAATGTACATCTCCATCTAACCTTCCCCTGGTCCAGTTCACCCTTCCTGTCCCATTTGGTGCTCTCCTGATGAAAGCGAAGGGCCAGAAGCGGGCAGCCTCACTGCCCAGAGCCCTGAAGCGCAGGAGTCCTTCTGCCCAAAGCCAGAGCGCTGAGCAGTGCTGCCCCGTGCAGAAGACGTGCTGCGTGTGCTCCTCCGTGCCTTCCCAGCAGGCAGAACTCACCTGCAGATGCCAAAGCCATGTCCCTGAGAGTCGCTCTGCTTCAGCCAAGCCACAGCAGCCAAGCTCCTGCCCTTGCGGTTCAGTTCGAGGTCACACAGTGTCAAACCCACCGAACACAGCGCACCGAGGGCCACACCAGCCAGCGAACGACGGAGGTGCGTATCCCCAGGCTCCTCAGCTCAGTACCCAGGCGTGCTGCTGGCAGCGCTGCCTGCGGCGCCGGAGCACAGGTCCACCCCAGAGGCCCATTCCTCCCCACCGTCACCCACGGCACAGCCGCACCGAGAGGTCCGGGACGCGTGTCGCTCCAGGCCGTGGGTGCCAGTGCTAGAGCAGGCCTGTCCAGAGGTTGAAGCAGGCAGTGTTGATGACCGACTCCAGGTGGTGGTATGTGGACACAAGCTGGGGCAGAGGGCTCTCGCTGTTCTGCGGCTGCACGGGGAATGGCTCCCGGAAAACCACGGTGAGGCTCTGCTGAGAAGGAGCAGCGGGTCAGGGGACGGGATTCAGACACGCACTGCGCAGTCCCTAGCCCAGGTGCGTGGGTGCTTTTTTGTCAGTGTCAGATACTGGGAGAAATCCCAACATGCCAGTGGGACTGAGCTAGCGTCTCCTCCTGTGACAGAGCATGTTTGAGCCTCCTCCCAGTTTTCCTGGTAGAAATTATGTGCAGGGACTTGCCCACTCGCTCTTTCCCAGCCCCCATGCATCTGCAGTTACACCAACCCCAGCAGCGGCCTCAGGAGAGGAGGGGATCCTACTGCCTCCACAGTAACAGGCGCTTCCAGGGAAATCAGAGGGAAGTTCCTTCTTCTAAGGCAAAGAGTAGGAGTGCAACAAACGGGGAAGGGGAGGAGATTAAACGTAATAACTGCAATCCTAAAAATAAATGCTGGCTGCTCAATCCTCATTAGTGACTGTACTGACAAGGCAAGGCAAGGGCAGAGGGGAGCAGAGAACGGGGTTCAGAAGAGAAGGCTGCAGGAGCTGAAGCAGAAGAAAAACGTGAACGACTCCGTGCACCGAGCTCAGTGCCATTGAGGCAAGACATGGGGACTGGATGCTCTCCAGCACTGAAACACAGCACATCTAGTAGCCAGGGTCCCCTAACAAACTCATAAAGCCATGAGAACAGCTGTGTAACTGCAAAACAGCAAATGAACCACCATCATTTAAGAGGGAAGAGAAAGTGATTTCTGAGCCTAACTCCAGAAGCATGCAAGGCTTTGCAGCAGGCTTGGAGAGAAAGAACGAGGAAAACACAGCTCGGCGTTACCAAAGTGATGTGCTAATGCTATAGAGTTCTCTTTGATAAGGTGGTATTTCTAGACAAAGGAATCATGGTACATCTTATCTGAGCTTCAGGAAGGATTTGATGTAGTCCCACATGGGAAATTTAGGTAAGCTGAAAAGATAGGAATTAATGCAAAAATTGTAAGGTGAAGATGTTAGTGCTGAAAGGGGAAGTAGCAGGCTGGAGAGAGGTTACAAATGGAGTTCCTCCAGGACAGGTTTTGGGACTCACGTTGCGTAGTACTTTAATGAGCCTGGCACAAAGATGAGGGCCACGCTGATAAAATTTGAGGCACTAATACAAGAGAGGATTGGGATAATGCAAGAAAAGCCCTACAGACTTTTGAGAGGCCACAGTAATGACATGTCCTGCTGTAAGATGGGAGTAGTTCGAGAGGTGATGGAGGGCCTGGGTGTATCCTATCAGTGACCACAAGGTGACACTACAACCAGCGAGACATGATCGAAAAAGGCAAATGCCACCCTAGGCTGCAGCAGAAGCACCAGGCAGGGACAGAAAAGCCTTAGTGCCATCACAGAAGGCTCTGCCGAGACTCCTCAGGAATACTGGGTGCAGTCCCGCACACCCGTATTTACAAGGGCTGACCTGAGCCCCGAAGGGCTCTGAATGACAATGAAGCCACTGGGGAAGGGAAGGCAGGCTTAAGAGCTCAGCGTGCTTAACACAGCAACACGGAGTTGGCAAAAATTCCACCTTCAGATGTGGAGGTCAATCTAGAGGACCAGGGAGGAAGAGGGGACCTGCAGAGTGAAGAGAGCTCTCAGCTACCACTGGCCTGAAGAGGCTGGAGCTGTATTCCCTGTGACCCACTCTGCACCCTGCCTGGGAGCACAGCGGAAAGCAAAGTATTTTTGCCTTCAAGTCCAGTGCAGGCTAAGGCCCGTGCAGGTTTGCTGGGACCCTCACAGTGCAGGTCCTCTTCCTTTCTGCCCGGGCAGGAGCAGCCCGCAGCACTGGTGACCCCTCCCAGCCAGACCCAGTGTGATCTGGGTTTGGACTGAATACAGAAGGACTCTCCAGCCTGGAAACAGACAGCTGAGAGCATGATCCAAAAACAACTCTGTGAAGGAAAAGACAATCGACTGCTCCCTGTTTTCTAACAGAAGAACAAAGGGGCAGCACATGAAAACAGCTGGAGGAGCTTCAAAAACAAGCCAAGGAAGGTAGCTCTTCACCTAGATTGTAATTGCCTCAGGGAGCTGCAAGTCAGGGGAAATCATGGATGCCAGAAATTAACCAAAGGAAATAATGCCACGGAGGGCTATTAAACAAATGCAAAGGCCACTTCTAGCTCAGAATGGGCCTGAGCCCCAGACTGTCAGATGTTGGGATAGTATTTAGGAAAGGTGTTACAAGCTTCTTGACCTGCTCTTGTTCTCCCCATTCACACCTGCCCTTGGCCACTGCTGGAGGAATCTAGACAGATCCCTGGCCTAAGCCAATATAGCTGCTCTTATATTCCGAAGTTCTTACCGTCTTTCCTGAATGGGAATCGAGAAACACGAGAACAAAGCAATCCGTGAACTTCTGGTTGAGCACAACCTGTCAGGAGAGCCACAGCGCATGTTGGAAAGCAGACAGCACAAACCCCAGGACAGGGATACAAACACCACCACCCAGCGACCTGCTGACGTGCAGGATGGGTGGTGTGACAGAGCCGTGAAGGTGCCAGTCTGCCTGGCTCACAGGTGACACTGCCAGACCACGGGGCTACACATGGCACGAGGCTCTGGTGTCCTGCCTGCCTGGCGGCAGACAAACGGACACTGCTGTACCACAGGAGCACGCACCTCATGCTGCGCCAGTAGCAGAGTTGAGGGCAACATCACGATGGCACCCACGTTGTCCTGACAGCACGTGCCAGGCTCACAGTGAGAAGCCACAGCAGGCAGGCACCCTGGGTAGGGGAGACGCTGCAGGTGGGCGACGGGCTGTGTCTTACCAGGTACTGGGTGCCTGTTTCTGCGTTGTGGAAGTGCCGACAGCTCTGGGGAAAGCGGCTCAACAGCACTTTGATGAGGCTCTGGTACCAGGAGACTGTCATGGTGAGGAAGCACCCCTGCAAGCATGGAAAAGGACCAATTTCAGCCTCCCTCTAGCCATTGCACCAGCAGCCAGAATGCTACAGCTGCCTTCAGACCCCAAATCAGATGCATCACCCACAGCCCGCTGAGGCCTGCTGATCTAGGGCTATTCACTCTCCACAGATGGGTCCATGCAGCCTCTCCCTTCTCCTGCCAGCCAGGAGCTGTGTTCCTGCCTCTACCTTCCCACCAAGCAGGAAGGGATGTGCCCTGCACACCCTTCACCCAGCACCCCACTCCATCCCCAGAGCAGAACAGCGGCTGCTGTGCACCATGACTCCATCACTGCTGCTCACCAGCTGGGGGTCGACGTCAGCAATGGATTTCCCATGCACGGCGTCAAGCAGCTCCTCCAGCTCCACCAGCGAGAGCTTGCCCAGCTTCAGCTTGTCGGAAGCCAGAGGCTCCAGGAGGAAGAGGCGCTTCCAGAGGTTGTCCCTGCGGCAATGGCACTTGGCCAGCTGCACCATGCTGCTGAGCTGCTTCTGGGCTGAGGCCACCTCGGAGGCCAGCAAGGGGAAAAGCGGTGAGGTGTAGAAGAGCCCTGGTCCCAGTTTGACTTGTGTGCCCCCTGCGTAGAACTCGCTGCTGTCCTCCACATCCTGCCACAGCACCCGCTCTGCAGGCTGCTGCTGCCCCACACTCGTCTCCGGCTCTGCTGCCTCCCAAGCCGCTCGGCCCACCACAGGCTCCAGCACTTCCCGCTGCAAGCGTGGCAACTTCTTGAAGCGTCGCATGTCGGCTGTGAGCCGGGGAAAGAGCTCCCGCTGGCTAGTCATGATG